TCACCAGGTTGACCAGGATGGTCTCGATCTCTTGACCTCGTGATCCACCCGCCTCGGCCTCCCAAAGTGCTGGATTACAGGCTTGAGCCACCACACCCGGCTTCTTTTTTTTTAAATTGAAATTGTTTTTATTAACATCTTGCGGGTGTTTGTGAGTTCGGAGTATTCACTTTCACTATGACCGAAACATCTATATTTAAATACAAGGTATTTAACACATTGTGTAATATGAGCCACATCATTTGCTTTCATAAAGAGGACCCCTTACAATAAGACAGAGGCCACGATCTCAGGTGGAAGAAACAGAAATAAATCTATTTCAAGGTCAATAGCTACACCCCGAATTCACTCAGCTCTACCAAATTTACCCACACTGTCTCAGCAAGTCACCTCTACAATCTGACAAAACAAGCAAAAGTACATTTTGTACTGAATGTGGTAAGAGGTTCAAATATAAATGTCTACTTTTATATATTTTTAATTTATGCAGTTTGCTTATTTAATTACTAGGTTAGTTAAACTGATCTTGTTGCAAATGAGGTATGATGATGTACACATGAAGAATAATTGGGCCAGAAGTGGTGGCTCACATCTGTAATCCCAACACTTTGGGAGATTGAGGTGGGTGAATCATGAGGTCAGGAGTTTGAGATGAGCCTGGCCAACATGGTGAAACCTTGTCTCTATTAACAATACACAACTTAGCCAGGTGTGGTGGCGGGCAGCTGCAATCCCAGCTACTGGAGAGTCTAAGGCAGGAGAATCACTTGAACCCGGGAGGCGGAAGTTGCAGTGAGCCGAGATCATGCCATTGCACTCCAGCCTGAGCGCCAGAGCAAGACTTTTTTTTTTCAGACAGGGTCTTGCTCTGTCTCCCAGGCTGGGGTGTAGTAGGGCAATCTTGGCTCACTGCAACCTCCACTTCCTAGGTACAAGTGATTCTCCTGACTCAGACTCCCGGATAGCTGGGAATACAGGCGTGCACCACCATGCCTGGCTAATTTTTGTATTTTAGTATCAATAGGTTTTCACCATGTTGGCCAGGCTGGTCTCGAACTTCTGACCTCAGGTGATCTGCCTGCCTCAGCCTCCCAAAGTGCTGGGATTACAGACATGAACCACTGCGCCTGGGGGTACTTGAATGTGCTTAGTTTCTCATACCCTATTTTCCCTCCTTTTAAAGAAATGGGACAAATAATATTACCAAATGAATGTAAATAAAGGTATTTAGGAAATAATGTGAAAAAGTTTTAAAGCATTATTTACTTTTTCTTTTCTTTTTAAATTTTAGATTCATGGGGTAGCTGTGCAGGTTTGTTTCATGGATAAATTGCATGATGCTGAAGTATGGGCTTCTAATGATCCTATCTCCCAGTGAACATATGCCAGTTGTGGTAGTTTATGCCTATGATCCCAGCCCTTTGGGAGACCAAGGCAGGTGGGTGTATCACTCGAGCTCAGGAGTTCGAAACCAGCCTGGCCAACAGAGTGAAACCCTGTCTCTACTAAAAATACAAAAATTGGCCTGGTGTGGTGGCACATGCCTGTAGTCCCGGCTACTTGGGAGGCTGAGGCATGAAAATTGCTTGATCCCGGGAGGCGGAGGTTGCAGTGAACTGAGATCTCGCCATTGCAGTACAGCCTGAGGGACAGAGGGAAACTGTCTCAAAAATTAAATAAAAATAAATAGTGAACATAGTATCTGATAGGTAGTTTCTCAAGCCTTCCCCCTCTCTCCCTTCCCACTTTTGGGATCCCCAGCGTTAACTGTTCCCATCTTTGTATCTGTGTGTACCCAATATTTAGTTCCCACTTCTAATTGAGAACCTACGGAATTAGATTTTCTGTTTCTGAGTTAATTTGTACCAGATAATGGACTCCAGCTGCATCCATGTTACTGCAAATATATTATTTGATTCTGAGACGGAGTTTCGCTCTTGTTACCCAGGCTGGAGTGCAATGGCGCAATCTCGGCTCACCGCAACCTCCGCCTCCTGGGTTCAGGCAATTCTCCTGCCTCAGCCTCCTGAGTAGCTGGGATTATAGGCACGCGCCACCATGCCCAGCTAATTTTTTGTATTTTTAGTAGAGACGGGGTTTCACCATGTTGACCAGGTTGGTCTCGATCTCTCGACCTTGTGATCCACCCGCCTCGGCCTCCCAAAGTGCTGGGATTACAGGCTTGAGCCACCGTGCCCGGCCTTATTTGATTCTTTTTTTATGACAGCATAGTATTCTATGGTGTATATGTACCACCTTTTCTTTATCCTGTCCACTATTGATGGACACCTGGGTAGATATCATGTCTTTTCTATTGTGACTAGTGCTGCAATAAACATGCAAATGCTTATTGGTGAAACGATTTATTTTCCTTTGGTTGTATACCCAGTAACTGGATTACTGGGTCCAATGGTATTTCTATTCTTAGTTCTTGAGAAATCTCCAAACCGCTTTCCACAGGGGCTGAATTAATTTGCATTCTCACCAACACTGTATAAGCATATAAGGAGGAGGAGGGAGGAGAAGGAAGACATTTTTATAGCAGTGTAAAAAATGAGAATTGGGTTCATTTCTTATCATGCTTTCTGGGATACTCTATCAGCTCCTCTCAGAATACTTAAAAAACCAAACCTTACAATGGAGACAAGTCAACCAAGATAAAAGCTGGTTCTTTGTATATGTCAATAATTGTGATAGACCCATGTCAAGTCTGGTCAAGAAAAAAAGAGATAAATAAAACACATTAAAATTCCTTTGTCCCCAAGAAGCACCCAGCAAATATAGTCGGTGTTCATCCAATGATCATAGAATAAAAGTGTTATCCTGTTAAGTCTTCATCCCCAAACCTACAAAGGTTGCATTGCTTTGGAGGTTTCTAGCCTTATACTTAATCATCCTATAATCTTTTCTTTTTTTTCCAAGACAGAGTTTCGGTCTCGTTGCCCAGGCTGGAGTGCAATGGAGCCATCTTGGCTCACTGCAACCTCCGTCTCCCAGATTCAAGCGATTCTCCTGCCTCAGCCTCCTGGGATTACAGGCATGTGCCACCACGCCCTGCTAATTTTTGTATGTTTAGTAGAGACAGGGTTTCTCCATGTTGATCAGGCTGTCCTTGAACTCCTGACCTCAGGTGATCTGCCCACCTCAGCCTCCCAAAGTGCTGTGATTACAGGCGTGAGCTACCGCGCTTGGCCTTAATCTTTTTAAATAACAGAAATAGGCAAAGTAGTCGAGCACTCACTGGTTTGAAATCCAGTGAAAGAAAAAAAAAATCTTTATGAATGGAGTTGACAGCCTCTTCTGTAAAACACGGAGTTCTTAACGAAGTGAAGTTCTGAAGATTTTTAAAGACTGGGAATAATTCTGTAACTTCATAGTTGTACTTTATTTTTACTCTTCCATTCACCCAAGCTCCTTCTTTCTAGCAAATCCCGTTTGTTGGTGGATAAAAATAAATCTGCAGAGTCTCCCGGAAGCTGCCCCATCAGCCTCATAGACAAGAAGCCTGGTTTTCCTGCACTGCTACAGAAATGTCTTCCTCCTCCTCCTCCTCTGGCTCATCGGGATCAAAGTCTTTTTCGTTCTTAGCTGGTTTTCCTTAGAGAAAAGCTGGAGTTCGGAGTTCAGTCCAGCGAGGGTGACTCCTTGAGGGCAGGCCTGGAGGCTTGGCGCGCCCGTCCCCTCCGCAGGCGGGGGAGAGCAGCGCCCCGGCTCTCTGCGCCGCGCGAGTCCTCCAGTAGCGCCGAGAAATCCGTTACCAGGCGGCTGTGTCCCCAAGGGCCATTCAGGGAGGAAGGGAACAGGGAAAACCGCTGTTTTGTTTCCCGGGCCCTGAGGGCTGGGTGCGCGGCGGGTCAGATTACAGACAGGTGAGGCTGGCTGTTGGGTGAGCTGCGGGCTCCAGGGCATCCCTGGCCAGGCGCCCCCCCCACCCCCCCGCAGCACCCGGCAGCTGGCACACGTCTGACGACCTCCTGGAGCAGGGCGATCGCAGCGACACTGGAGGCTGTGCCTGTTGTCCTGGGCGCACCCGAACAAGGTCTTGGGAAGGGCAGCGCGCCCCCCAATGTGAACACAACTGCTTTATAAACTTGGCACCTTTTACCAACTCCCCCTCCTTCTCTCCCTCTCCCCTCCAGACGTAAAGGTTGATTGGAACAGACAGATATAATAATAAGTGCAAAGCTTTCCTTCCTCCCCCGGTAGGGACGGCGAGAAGATGTAGCCAATGTTCACTATGGTGGCTTCCTGGAAAGGTATTTCCAAGCCTCAGAATTTGGGTTCGGGTGGTTAGGGGAGGCAGTGGTGTGAGTGGGAGAGGATTGGGGGCTTGTTTCGAAGCTGCATTTGCATAATATGCTCCTGGCTTCTGTTTCTATTGTGTGTTTAGTTGGGGTAAGGGGGCTTTCGGGGTGCAACGTCTTGGGATGGAAGCTGCTTTGGCGGGGCAAGCCCAGATTTTATGATGCTAGTCAGAAAAATAACGTGTTCTAAAGATGTAACGTGTTCTAAAGATGCCGAATTTTAAAATTTATTTTTACTGCTTAACGGCAGTGTTGTAGCCGATGGATGGCTTAAGCCCCTAAGCCCCCTCCCCCATTATTAATAATCAGAGTCCTTGGAAGCCTCCCGCCGCCTCCTCTTCTGACCGCCCAGATTTCTCCAAGCCCCGGGAAGGCTCCACGAGGTCCAGAGGAACTGAGCCATTTTCTGGCTCGTCTGAGACAGATCCACCGGGCGGGGGAGGGGGGCAACTTGTGGGAGGCCCCAACTCACCGGAGGGGTGCCCTGGGAGGCAAACCTGGGGTTTATCTCGAAGAGCTCACCTCGAGGTGTAGGTGATGGGGGAATGGGAAGGTGGCGGATTAAAATATGTTCTGCTTTTTTTAAAAAGAGGAGGGGGAAGAAGAGACTTTAAATTCTTTTGCAAACATTCATGCCTAAGGAAGGGCTGGAACAGGCAGCCCCGGCCGCCGGAACCGGTCGGACAGGTAGCGAGCTTGTTGACACCGTTATGTTGCAGGGCGCATGCTCACTCCCAAGTTTCCTGGTGCCTTTTCTATTTCACCTTATGAAACTTTTTCCCCGGCGTGGTCTCAACCGCGATTTAAGGCATAGGTGTCGCCGAGCCCGGAGGCTGGGAGTCGCCAGGCGTGCGGGGGAGAGGCCTGGGCCGCGTCGCGGAGGGGGGTGGAGGAAGAGGGCAGGCGAGGCGGGAAGGTGGGCTCTGGCCGCCGGGAGCCGGGGACCGAGACGCCGCCGTCGCCCCTAGCGGGGAGCAGCCGGGAGGAGGGGGCCGCAGCCGGGAGAGGGGACCCCCACCATGCCCAAAGTCTTCCTGGTGAAGAGGAGGAGCCTGGGGGTCTCGGTCCGCAGCTGGGATGAGCTCCCGGATGAGAAAAGGGCAGACACCTACATCCCAGGTGAGCGCGCGCGGGGGCCGGGCCTGGGCGCTGGGCTCCTGGGGTGGGGGAAGGGGTGGCGGGTCTTCTCTGCTCTTCGTCAGGGTCGGGCTCCCCACCTCATCCCCCTCTTCCGCGGGTCACGCGGGGGTCTTCCAGGCGGGGGAGGGCGGCCAGTGAGGGACTGGGATGCCCGGGACTCTCGGCGCCCCCTTACCCCTAGTGGGAGCCTCTAATTGCCCGGCGGCGGGACCGTTGGCTGCGGCGCGGGCCGAGGTGGCCCAGGAAAGGGAACGAAAGCTAGCAGGGGTTAACCCCCAATCTCACGTCCTCATGGGGATGCACAAAGGCCCACCAACGCTTCTAGGGGTAGCTGGGAAGAGATCAGACCCGCCTCCCCCGCCCCGAGAGGAAACTTGGCGCGCGGGGTCCTCCGCCGCCCGTGGCCGCCCAGTTCCTCGTGGGAGCCGGGGCTGGGACCGGGAAGAGGCCCCGAGCACCCCAAGCTAGCTCGAGGGGCCGATCCCGGGCTTACTCGCCCACCCCCGCGACGTCGCCCACTTGGCGAGGTGCCCAGGTCCGGGGCGGGGCGGCGGCGGCACCGCCCGCAGGTCAAACTGCCTCGGGCTTGCGGGCTGACGCCGAGTGTGTGTGTCGGGGCGCGGCCCCTCCCTCCACAGTGGGCCTGGGCAGCCTGCTCCACGACCCCCCCGAGGACTGCCGCAGCGACGGCGGCAGCAGCAGCGGCAGCGGCAGCAGCAGCGCAGGCGAGCCCGGAGGCGCCGAGAGCAGCTCGTCCCCGCACGCCCCCGAGCGCGAAACCCCGGAGCCCGGCGACGCCGATGGCCCCGAAGGACACCTGGCGGCCAAGCAGCGCCCGGTTGCCAGGTCAAAAATCAAGGTACTGTGTCGACTCTGCCCCCGCCGCCACAAGCACCACGCCCTGGCGTCGGGCTCCCGGGGCCCGCGCCCCTCCCTGTCGTGCCCGCCCGCGCAACCCGGCACCCGCGCCCTGAGCGCGCCAGCCGCGCGGCTCCTGCACCTGCCCCTGGGCCGCGGCCAGGGCGCCTCGGCACGTCCTCCCGCCCGCTGGGTAGCCGCTGCGCAGGGGCGGCCGGATCCCGTTGTGGGCTCCGTCCGCCCAGGTAGCCCCGCCGGATGCCGAGTGCCCCCGCCTGATGCCGAGTGCCCCCGCCTGATGCCGAGTGCGGCCTCTGGAGCTGCGGAAAAGGCACAGGTATTGCTGCTTTCTGTCAGCAGCTCATTCCGTGCGCTAGGCCTCCGGAATAACCGAGGCCGTCGGGGGTTCCCGAGGTCGGAAAGGAGGCCCATGCGCTCTCAGAAATTCCACCCTGTGGGACGCAGTTCCTGGCCCCGCGGCTCCTAGAGTCAACCCCCCATGCTTGTGTTCTTGGACTTGGGCGGCAGCTTAGCACATAGTGGGACTCTCCCAACACGAGCGGTTCCCAGTATGTCAGACGGGAGGCCTGTGCTCGGCACTTTAGATCTGTCACCTTTCCAAGCTTGAATTAAATTGATGGGTAAAAGGGTTCAATGCAGATTTCCCGAGCGCCCCTACCACAGTAGATTGGAGTGTTTGCTCCCATCTACGGTGGCGCTTCGGGGCCCCCTCGAGCGTTCTGGACGCCCACCTGAGCTTTTCTGGGCTGAACTTCCATGATGCTCTGCTCGAAGGTATTCGATACCCACCAACATTTAGGAATCCCATTCCACTGACTCAGCCAGCTGCAGCAAGCGGGATGATGGTTTATAATCACTTGACCCCACTTCCTAGCCTGGTGGGCCGAAGTGCGATGTTGTGCACATCCTAGGCCCCCGGTGTAGGTGGTAATTCCAGAGCGCTCCGGTGCCTTCCCGCCACCCAGATCGGGGGCTTGGGGGCAGTGGGGAGGGAGAGCCCCGGCTTTGCTGTGGAGTGAGAAAGCAGCCCTCATTTTCCTGGGAGAGGCCACCCCCACTCCCCTATGCACATTCCTCATTCCCAGGGTTTGACTCCGGGGTGGGCTGAGGAGCATTTGGTTATGAATTGAGGCTTGAGGCTTCAGCTGGCATCCAAAGGAAAGAATTCTTTAAAGAAGAAGCTGCCGACGCCAGGCGGGCCGGCAGCCTAGCGGTAAGTGTGAGGCTGAGGTTCAAAGTCAACTGGCCTGAGGCTTTTCTGGGCCAGGTGGGGTTAAGTGGGAGGGAACAATTTGCCTGAGGCTGGTAGCTCTGCCCTTCGGGAAATTCTACAAAGTGTCCCACTTGCATATTTATCACCAGGCTGTAAGGACAATTGCAACGTTGTTTTGGGAGTCTCTGCAACTAGTTTGCCCCTCTGTCCCCCCATTGCCCTGATTCCCCTGGAGACAAAGTGACAGATTCTCTCCGTCTCTTAACCAACATTTTAGGCAGTCTCTTCTGCCTCAGGCACACACGGCCGTTGGAATCCCGGATTTAGGGAAAACGTAAACCAATCTGATTTCCTAGATTAGTTGCTTGTGTGCTGGGGGAAGGGGGTAGGGAGGCACAGTTTGCTCCTGTACCGTTAAGAGAGTCTTCTTTCCATGGTTTCCAGGGGAGTTTTTATTTACTGGGGATGTTTAGGTTCCTTCTTTCCCCCTCTACCCACCAAAAGGAGGCATTTTGATGTTAACATGCTCCAAGCCTCCAGAATTCCGCGGCATTGGCAGTTTTCAGATAACTGACCAAATACCCTGTGACTTAGCACGTTGCATAATTCTAAAGTTCTTTCCGAGGCATGCTGAACTCAGAGTTTTTCTAAGAATTAGTTTCTTCAGTCAGTGGGCTCCCAGGATCACAAGAAGGGCAGTTCTGAGCCACTGCCTAGCACTGGGAGGCAAACCCCGCCCATCTAACACCTGGGGTGTGTAAGGCGGCAGGAGGTAAAAATGCTTCCACCCTGGTGTTCCTTCTAGAATCATCTGGCAGTAACGGTTGAGCATGTATGCTCTGGCTTTGTTGCTTCTTAGCTGTGAGACCTTGAGCAAGTGGCTCACCCCTCTGGGCCTCAGATTCCTTATCTGTAAGATGATGATAATGTGAGGATAAATGAGTGGAGGGTAGAACCTGGTATGTGCCCAATTACTGTAGATAGTATTTGGGTTAATAGGGAGTCACAAACGTTAACTCTGCTGCAGGACAGTGAATGTGAAACCAGAATTCCAAGCAAAGACGTGATCAATTTGAGCAGGGAAGGTGTCCTGATGTGGAGTTGAAGGCCGTGGAGAAGGTAGCGGGTGGGCTTGAGGGCAGTGTGGGCTGAGTCCCATAACTGGAGCATAGAAAGGAGGAAGCTCTGGTGGCTGAAGATAGGAAATGGGGCTTGCTCGGGTCAGGGACAGAGTTGGCGGTAAATAACTAGAAATGTAACCAGAACAGGGTGAGATGGTGAAGGGGCCAAGCCAAGAAGTGTGGGTGCTCCTGCTGGACAGAGGAGAAGCTCTGGATGATTTGTAAGAAGGAAACCCTCAATAGGGTCTCTCTTTTTTTTTGAGACGGAGTCTCACTCTGTCACCCAGGCTGGAGTACAGTGGCACAATCTCGGCTTACTGCAACCTCTGTCTCCTGGGTTCAAGCCATTCTCCTGTCTCAGCCTCTCGAGTAGCTGGGATTACAGGCACCTACCACAATGCCCAGATAATTTTTATATTTTTTTATTAGCCCTGCCTAAGCAGGACATAAAAAATTTGGTTATAAACTCATAGTTGTTCCTCTCCACAGAAATCTTTAGTAAAAGGTGAAAGATTTATTCGTTATGAAGAGAAACCAGAGCATAACACTTTTTTAAATTTTTATTGTGTTTTAGGCTTTGGGGTACATGTGAAGAACATGCAGGATTGTTGCATAGGTACATACATGGCAATGTGGGTTGCTGCCTTCCTCCCCATCACCTGTATCTGGCATTTCTCCCCATGTTATCCCTCCCCAACTCCCCACCCCCTGCTGTCTTCCCACAGTTCCCCCCAACAGACCCCAGTGTGTGATGCTCCCCTACCTGTGTCCATGTGTTCTCGTTGTTCAACACCCACCTATGAGTGAGAACATGTAGTGCTTGATTTTGTGTTCTTGTGTCAGTTTGCTGAGAATGATGGTTTCCAGGTTCATCCATGTCCCTACAAAGAACACAAACTCATCGTTTTTTATGGCTGCATAGTATTCCATGGTGTATATGTGCCACATTTTCCCTGTCCAGTCTATCCTTGATGGGTATTTGGGTTGGTTCCAAGTCTTTGCTATTGTAAACAGTGCCACAATGAATATTCGTGTGCACATGTCCTTATAATAGAACGATTTATAATCCTTTGAGTATATACCCAGCAATGGGATTGCTGGGTCAAATGGAATTTCTATTTCTAGGTCCTCAAGGAATCACCACACTGTCTTTCACAATGGTTGAACTAATTTACACTCCCACCAACAGTGTAAAAGTGTTCCTATTTCTCCATATCCTCTCTTGCATCTGTTGTTTCCAGATTTTTTAATGATTGCCATTCTTTTGAGACAGCGTTTCGCTCTTGTTACCCAGGCTGGAGTGCAATGTCGCGATCTCAGCTCACCGCATCCTCCACCTCCGGGGTTCAGGCAATTCTTCTACCTCAGCCTCCTGAGTAGCTGGGATTACAGGCACACGCCACCATACCCAGCTGATTTTTTTGTATTTTTAGTAGAGATGGGGTTTCACCATGTTGACCAGGATGGTCTTGATCTCTCGACCTCGTGATCCACCCGCCTCAGCCTCCCAAAGTGCTGGGATTACAGGCTTGAGCCACCACACCCGGCCTAATGATTGCCATTCTAACTGGCGTGAGATGGTATCTCAATGTAGTAATTTTTGTGTTTTTAATAGAGATAGCATTTCACCTTGTTGGCCAGGCTAGTCTTGAACTCCTGAGCTCGGGTGATCCGCCCACCTAGGCCTCCCAAAGTTCTGGTATTACAGGTGTGAGCCACCTCACCTGGCCAGTCAGGTTCCTCTTAATGGCTGTGGTCATGCATACATTATCTCCTCCAGGCCTCAGTTCCCTGACCTGTAAAATGGAGGACTCAGAATCAGCCTTCCAGAAAAGTTACATAGATTAAATGAGATCGTGGGTGTAAAGTGTTTCGTTTTCGGTGCATGTATAAACTGCCCAAGAGGAAGTTACCTGACAGTGACATACAGCAAGTTTTAACACCCAACATTTTGTTGGCAGCAGTAAGGAAATGGATTCACTAACCTGATCGTGTAGATGTGTGGATCTGGAAAAGGAGTCTGAGGTGCAGGTTAGGAAATGTGGCTGTCCTTTCCCAGCCCATCTGCCTTGGGAGGGTGTGCCTCAGGGCAGGTTGTGAAACTGTATCTTTACTACTGAGAATTTTGTAATTTACCAAACAAATAGCGGTGAGAAGATGATGTACATTCCAGAGCGTGTGCATGGCATGCCCTTTTTGTGCTGGATCCATCTGCAGGTCTCCACCTGCGGGGTAGAGAAAACCAGGAAATACTAATTACCACTGTCCTTTGGAGGCTTATTGGAAAGTAACTCTCAAGTTAACCGACTTGGCTGATTGCATTCATTCCTGATTCTCTGGCTGATAGGACCCAGGTCCAAGTATGGACCACCAAGTGAATTTGTCCTCTCACCTCGTCCTATTCTGTTCTTTTTTTTTTTTTTTTTGAGACAGAGTCTTGAAATGCTGCTTGGGCTGGAGTGCGGTGGAGTGATCTCAGCTCACTGCAACCTCCACCTCCCTGGTTCAAGTGATCCTTCTGCCTCAGCTTCCGGAGTAGCTGAGATTACAGGTGCCTGCCACCATGCCCAGCCAATTTTTTGTATTTTTAGTAGGCACGGGGGTTTCACCATGTTGGCCAGGCTGGTCTCAAACTCCTGACCTTGT